GCGGTTTTCCTACAAGGATAAACCAAAGTCAGTAGTAAAACCAACCAGAATCTCCTTGAGACAGTTTGGAGGATATTAAAGACTTACCTCTGATTGCGGATCATCTTTGTCAGGATGCTCACTTGAAAGGATCTCTTGTTCTAACTCTAGCATGTCTAGCATTCGGTCTTTGTCTTTCCGAAATTGGAGGAAGATGTCAATCTCATTGGGAGGGAAGTGAGTATCCTCATACAACTGCTTAGAAAAAGAAAAGAGTGAGGAAGATACCATTCGAGGAGGCAAGAGGCACGGAAGATGCTTACAGTTTGGTCATGAACAATTTCATAGAGATCTGCGGCGAAATCATTATAGTTATCGGTCGTAAAGTCGCATAGTGTGCACATCCAGAGAGGTTTCCCAGCACGCTTGTGGTCGAGCATCTGGATACCAGCGCCATTCTCCAGACGACGAACTGCCACCATAAGGTGGATATGCGGGAATAACAGAGTTGGATCGTCCTTCGCCCTCCACAAGAGAATAAGCACAAGGGTCTTCCGATATGAGCATGCCAGTAGCCGGATGTGGATTATCATTTAGCCACGATAACATGTTACCAAAAATCTCCCTCAAACCTGGAAAATACCAAGATTAAATTTTTTCATCATTATACTCTGAAAAGGGTAGAAAGAGATATGAAGATTAAAGGGTAGAAAGAGATTAACCAGAGAAGTCGGTGTGTATCATAGAGATTCCAGAGTAATAGAGGTCTTCGCTGTCGTCTGGAGTTAGAGGTATTAGGTTGCCGATGGCAAAGATGGCGACTTCTTCTTCAAGTCCAAAAGAATAACCACAAGACTTGTTCAAAGCCGATTCTATACTCTGACGGACACAGAGAGGGTCATAACCAGGAGGAATCAGACAGCCGTTGATGTCCCACCATACAGCCTTCTCGCGAGGCACCTTCGCGGATCTCTCACGACCTAAAAGGAAACAAATCTATTAGAGTATAAATGTATATGAATCCGGTTTGTTCCGGTTAAGTCGTAAATTGGTCAAGATGTAAACCAAGGCTATATAACCTTTGTATTGTTCTCATTGAATCAATAACAGAATTATTATTCTCAATTCCCAAATCCTCTCGATCACAAGAGAGATTTGTTTCTGTTCTAATGTAATCTCTAATAAAATCGAATCGAATCGGAGTTAGATCTCTAATCTTCTTTCCCAAACAACAGCCAAAGATTAAGAGTAATTGGCACAAACGACCGACCTTTTCCCATACCGAATCTGCAATCAATCTATCGGCCGACGGAGAGAAAGGAGATCTAGCTAGAGACGAGTAGTTTAGGGTTTAAACTTTGAGA